CAGTCTTTTAATTTTTTACCCTGTAGTGGAGGTATGTTTTTCGTCGCCTGGCTGGTGGTAAACGATCCTTCGTAAACAGGCAGAGAGAGAGAGAGAGAAAGAGAGAGAGAGAAAGAGAGAGAGAGAAAGAGAGAGAGAGAGAGAGAGAGAGAGAGAGAGAGAGAGAGAGAGAGAGAGAGAGAGAGAGAGAGAGAGAGAGAGGGAACAGACAGACGGGCTGACAGACAGACAGACAGACAGACAGAGACAATGAGAAAGAGAGAGAGAGGGGGGCGGGAATAAACAGACACACTGACAGACAGACTGACACATAATAATATACAGAGAGAGGGGGAGGGAGAAAGACAGACAGACAGACAGACAGACAGACAGACAGACAGACAGACAGACAGACAGACATGGAGGAGAGGGAGGAGAGAGAGGGAGACAGAGATGCAGAGAGAGACAGATACAGAGAGACAGAGAGTCAGAAAGAGAAAGACAGACAGAGACAGTTACAGAGAAAGATGGAGAGACAGACAGACAGACAGACAGACAGACAAACCGACAGACAGACAGACAGACAGACAGACAAAGACAGTTACAGAGAGAGATGGGGAGAGAGAGAAAGAGAGAGAGAGAAAGAGAGAGAGGGAGAAAGAGAGAGAGAGAGAGAGAGAGAGAGAGAGAGAGAGAGAGAGAGAGAGAGAGAGAGAGAGAGACGAGCTCAAAGAAAGAGACAAAAGAAGGACGGTCAGAACGAAGGTCAGGAAACAATGTGCAAAGCTGCACTTCTGCCTAGCCGTGTGTCTGTGCACGACTGACCCAGATTTACCTCATAACAGGCCTGTCAACTGTCACCCAGGATGGAGCACTCGCCTTTTTCTACACTGGATCTGCTATGGTTCTAGCACTTAGTCAACATACTGTCATACAGTCCCTTTTCTCACGTCTGTATCTTGTGCAATATACTATGTAGATTAGACAAAGAAGTCTGAAGACAGAAGTTCACTCTGGTTTTCTTTCTCACAAAGACTGAAAAAGTGAAATGTTAAATGGAGAAACGGACAAACACACAACCACACACACACGCTCGCGCGGGGGCGCACACACACACACACACACACACACACACACACACACACACACACACACACACACACATGCACACAAACACACACACACAAACGCACATCAACACACACACACGCGCACACCAACACACCAACACACACACACACACACACACACACACACACACACACACACACACACACACACACACACACCATTTTTCCCCCACTCGAGAATCGAACTGGCGTCTCATGCGTGCGACTGCAAAGCGCTAAACCGCAACACCCTAGTGGTGGTGGTAGTGGTGGTGGTGGTGGTGGGAGTGAGGGGGTAGTGGTAGTGGTGGTAGGAGAGGAATGTGTGTGTGTGTGTGAGGGGGGGGGGGGGTAGTAGTGGTACCATTAGCTTGTCCCAACCACCCGCAATATTCATTGTACAAGTACAGTTGAGGTAGTGGTATTATTATCATGATCATTAGTGTAGTAGTAGTAGTAGTAGTAGTAGTAGTAGTAGTAGTAGTAGTAGTAGTAGTAGTAGTAGTAGTAGTAGTAGTAGTAGTAGTAGTAATAATAATAATAATAATAGATAGCATTTGTATAGCGAATATCCCCGCTCAACAGCAGGCTCTATGCGCTTTACACTATATTATTACCCCAGCAGACCATAGAACACTCCGAAACATTCTCAGCTTCCCGAGAAGCATACAGTGCAAGCAGCCGATTAAGCGCTCAAAGACTAACTAACTGACAAGATCTTTCGCTGTCTATAGCCGGGTACCCATTCCCACCTGGGTGAAGTGAGGAAAATTAGTGTAAAGTGCCTTTCCCAAGGACACAACGTCGGGCCCCTGATGGGTTTCGAACCCACGACCTTACGGTTGCGAGTCTGAGAGCCTAACCACTAGGCCACCGACGTAGTAGTAGTAGTAGTAGTAGTAGTAGTAGTAGTAGTAGTAGTAGTAGTAGT